TGAATGTCATAACCTTTTTAATACGTATACTTTATAAAGAAATGACAAAAATAGTGACACAACGCGAATTTCTCTCAAACAGGTTCAACTTTGTCTTTATCCTTACGACTGTGCATTGCTGAACTACGCCTCTCTCTTTCTCTCTCTCCTCCCCTCTCCTCTTCGCCCTCTCTCTCCTCTCCTCCCCTCTCCTCTCCCCTCTCCCACTCTCTCTCTTCTCTCTCGTCTCCATCTCCCTCTTTCCTCCCTCTCTCTCACTCCTCTCCTCTCCCTTCTCTCTCTCTCCATCTCCTCTCCCTCCCTCTCCTGCCCATCTCCCTCTCCTCTCTCTCCCTCCCCTCCTCCCTTCTCTCTCCTCTCTCCCCTTTCCCTCTCTCCCTCCCTCCTCTCTCTCCTCTCTCCACTCCTCTCCTCTCCATCTCCTCTTCCCTTCTCTTCTCTCTCCATCTCCACTCTCCCTCTTTCTCTCTCCTCTCCCTCCTCCCTCCTCCCTTCTCTCCTCTCCCTCTCCCTCCCTCCTCTTCTCCATCTCCTCTCCTCCAGATCTCTCCTCCCTTCTTCCTCCCTCCTCCCTTCTTCTCTCTCTCCATCTCTCCCTCCCTTCTCTCTCCATCCCTCTCCTCTCTCTCTCTCTCTCTCCATCTCCCTCTCCTCTCTTTTCCCTCTCCATCTCTTCCTCTCCCTTCTTCTCTTCTCTCTCTCCATCTCCCTCTCCCATCTCTCTTCCCCTTCCATCCCTCTCTCCTCTTCTCCTCTCTCCCATCTCCTCTCTCCTTCTTTCTCTCCCTCCCCTCCCTCTCCCTCCTTTCTTCTCTCTCACTCTCCATCTCCTCCTTCTCTCCTCTCCTCCCCTCTCTTCTCTCCATCTCCCTCTCTTCTTCCTCCTCCTCCCTCTCTGACCCTCCCTCTCCATCCTCTCTCCTCCTCTCCTCTCCTCTTCTCTCCTCTCTCCATCCTCCCTCTCCTATCCCTTCTCTCTCTCTCTCTCTCCATCTCCTCCCTCTTCTTTCTCCATCCCCACCTCCCATATAAAGCTAATATAGTATATAAACATTTATAAATATAAATATGGTATTAAACTATTTATATATATAAAATATATATCTCGTATTTATATAACTTAAAGTATATATAAACATATATAAACAAATACTATATATGCCAAATTATTTATATATATATAAATATAAAAATGAAACTGTATGTAAACAAATATATATATATAAACTGTTTATATATATATAAATATATATAAATGTTTATATGATAAATATATATAAATTTATTTATATATATTTAAATATATATAAACTATATATGTCATATAATATAAACTATATATGTCATGCTCACATATCTCATATATTTATATATAGTATATATATGCATTATTTAATAAAATAAATAATCTGTTTATATGTAATAAAATATAATATGCATTGTATATATTAAAATATATGCATCTATTTATGATAGAATAAAGGTCCTATAATCTATTTATATGTAATAAAATAAATATATAAGCTATATATAAAATATATATACGTGTCTATATATAAGTATATATATATATAAATGGCTCTCTCTCTCCATCTCATATAAATTTATTTATATATAATAAAATGTAAATATATAAACTGTTTATATGTAAAATGTATATATAAACTGTTTATATATATTTAAGTATATATATAAATTATATATAAAATATACTCCTGCTCCTTATTTCTATATAAATACCTCTTCTCTCTCTCCCTCTCATCTCCCTCCCTCTCTCTCCCTCTCTCTCCCTTCTCTTCTCTCTCTCTCTCTCCTCTCTCTCTCTTCCCTCTCTCCTATCTCTCCCTCCTCTCTCTCCCTATCCCTCTCCCCCATTCTCTCTCTGAATTATGACAATTTAGTGATAGCATCCCCTCTCTGTGAGTTATATATGTACACTATAATAGAAGAATTGCAATACAGTTTGTGCTCAATATACAGTAGAGTACATGTTATGGTATTCATAATTGCCAAATAATTTGATCAATGTTTTATGATAACAAAATCATTGATTAAAACACACACACACACACGCACGCACGCACGCACGCACACATCCACACATGCATGCATGCACGCACGTACAGACACAGCCATACATACACATTCTAATAAAGCCCATCTGTCAGCATGAATCCGTGAATAAACTTCTCATTAAAAACCCTCGCATAGGTTATCATTGTGTTCATTGTATGACGAAACCATAAACAAAATCATTGGAGTGAAATTAATCTATATAGATAATCGTGTACACCTGGGCTCCCAGTGTTAATATCTGTGCCAGCTGCAGCCATGTTGATCAATAGACGGTCACAGCACGATCACATGTAATATTCCAGTAATCACTATACAGTACTCAACACTACCCAATGCTATTTGATAGTGCGTTATGGCTGCCAGAGGTTTCCATTCATGACACAAACGTACCGACAGGCCTAGAACTCGCTGTATATCATAATATCATAACACCCAAAACAAAAACAAGATATATATTTAAAAATATGATTTTATGAAAAATATCAATGTGTGGAACATTATATGATAAAAATATCAATATATACGTGGAAGTTTATATCATAAATTATAGCTATGTTTAGAACCTGTGTATAATACTGCCACTGAATAATTACTTATTGACACAAACACCCCACCCCACACCACCCCCACCCCATCCGTTTTAATGTAAATTATATTTACATCTCATAATGTTTAAAACATATACACTTTAATATTAATTATACACTTAGAATAAATATGTGTTTAATGCAAATTAGTGCACATGTCCTAATATTTAGATTTTCCTCTGATCAATACTATATCGGAATAAGATCAATTACAAAACCTACACCTGGTAACATAGTCAAAACGGCACCCGTAATTAAGAGAGGAGATAGTTCTTTTAGCAATATTCCATCACGACGGCGCTATGTGGGGTGAGAAGGGGGCACCACAAATGGGCTTCCACCCATGTTAGGGGAATCGAACCCAGCCCTCGGCGTGACAAGCGAACACTTTGATGATGAGCTGCTGCTGCATTTAATGGGGGTTGGGGTGGGGGTGGTATTATTTGTTCCCATTTTGTTCTAGGGAGGGGTGGGGTGGGGTGGGGGTCAGCAATTTTGTACTTAAGAAATACAGTTCGCTCTACCACCATGTATAGTGTAATAAAGCACACTTTCGCCCTGAACTATTATAGTTAAAGCACGAGGTTGTGGTAGAGCGAACTGTATTTCTTTTCTAAGATGCCAAATTTAATACTTTCTCAGGATGGCGAACGTTAGCGCGCGCAAAGGGAGCCGGAAACCAGCTTGATCCAGATGAAGCTGAGTAGTCAAGCGACATTCCACGATTACATTGTGGGAATGTAAACATTGCGAACGTTACCGTGTCCCTGCAAACTTGTGAGTCGACTTGAGACATTTTAAACGTCCGAAAACATAAACGTAATGTTTCCACCAGTGATGTTAGGTGGGTGAAGCAACTGCAAACCAAGAAACGAGGTGCTACGGAGGCCGTACGAGGCGATGACAACTGACATGCATCGTGATGTCGCTTACATTGTGACGTAATGCAAAAAGTGTTCGATTCCGAGGGGCAGACTAGAATGGGGCAGTGACGCCAATACATTGTAACGTAATGCAAAAAGTGCACATTATCGTCTGATAAAGTACTGTCGGCGCCTTTGATCTTTCACCGAAGCATCTTAGAATAAAATATAGCAGTTAAGATTGTCTCGGTGGTCTCTGTTTGTGACATGGTTACCTCCCAGCTGACAATTTCACGTTATTACCAGGTTATTCTGTGGACTCCCATTTACGTTGTTACAACGTTATTCTGTGGACTCCCATTTACGTTGTTACAACGCTATTCTGAGGACTCCCATTTACGTTGTTACAACGTTGTGGCCTGACGTTGTGATACGTCAGTTTTACGTCACCAAAATGCTAACGTATTTTCGTTGTCTTACGTTCTATTTAACGTTAATATTTGAATAGTTTTCCCAGTAGTGAACAGTACATAGGAAACAAAGCAGAAATTCACTTCAATCGGATGTGTATTCGTCTATTTGCATGTTGTTTTGTCGTGTGTTTTCTGAAGCTGTAGCCTCTATTCGCCTACATCTCAATTCGCCTACAATGTTTTTGTAGGCGAATTGGGAGTAGAGAATGCACCCCTACTCTTATAATGAACCTGACTCACTGAGTATTGATCGACCGTTGTTATAAGGATATGTAGTTGAGTAAACAGGATTAGTGCATCCACGGACAGGGTTAAAATAAAATGACAGGGATTAATGCATGCGATGATGAGATGTGGTTAATTTCTCACTGTGAAATACTAAGTTGTTATAGGTGAGGTGAAATTGGGGTTAACGTCGTGCTTGAGAATCTTTCGCTCATATGACGACGTGCCTGCGTGTTTATGGGTATGTGCGGCTGCTTGTACTAGCCCAGACTGAAGCTGGTTTTATATAGTGCTAGCCCACTGAGATACCATGCCGCAGTGAAGCATGAATACCCCACTCAGACACATTATATTGACTCCGAGCCGACCAGTCCTTGTTGTACCCATTAATGCCGAGCGCCAGGCAGGGACCAACAAGTACCATATTTTAACGTCTTTTGGTATGACGCGGTCGGGGATCGAACCCACGACCTTCCGCTCTCCGGGCGGACGCCCTAACCACTACACCACGGAGGCGGTCTAAGTTGTTATAAGGATATGTAGTTGAGTAAAGAGGATAAGATCTGTTGTCACAAGTGACAACCTCAAGACTTGCGCATGATTGTGTTTTTTAAAATAATTACAAACAAATAGAGACAAAATTTAAGCTTTTAAGACAGAGACTTCAGACGGCCGGCAGTTCCTGCTGGTAGACGACGGTGATGGCATCAGGATTTTAACCTTCACAACCGCAGAGATGCTGGATATCCTTGCTGTGGCCGAAACAGTATACATGGATGGAACATGTTGTGTGTGCCCTAGTCTTTGGACCCAAGTGTATGTTTTGCACTGCCTTGTACAGGACCAGATGTATCTAGTTGCCTTTCCCTGCTTCCTAGTCTGTCTCACAGTCCCTGAACCACATTAATTTCCCTACTGCCAAGCCCTCTCTGCAGTGCTAAAGCCCTAAATAAAGCAAGTCTAGATTTCCTCAGGTTCAGGCATCTGGTCTCCCTAGGGCTCCTTTTCAATATAAATGGGCTTGTTTGTTACTATCAAAATTACATATATTCAGAGACTAAGCCTTAGTCTACCTACTTCCCAGCAAATCCCGTGACACATATATCAGACTGTTTACTCACTTAAAGGATATTGTGCTTACAACTGTCGATGTCAATCTCTCCCCTTCTATAGTGCAAACAGACTACGAAGCTGCTGCCATCGGTGCCATCGAGACAGTGTTCCCAGGTGCTGATATCCGTGGATGTTTTTTCCATTATACACAAGCTGTTTGGAGACAAGTTGCCGAGAAAGGCCTAGTCAACGTCTACAGGAACAATCCAACTTTCAACTCCCATGTGCGACGTGCTGCTTCTCTTCCCCTCCTCTCGGTGGATCAGGTCCATGTTGCGAGGATGGATACATTGACTGCGTCTCCAGATGTTGAGGGTATTGCTGCCTGAAATGAGAACATACCGTATAGGTTTAAATTAAATTATCATTTTATTGTGATCAGAAAATTATAATGACATGACTTGGCAATCGAAACAGGGAGATATCATAAAATAGAGAGGGAAAATAGAATTTGTACATTTTGTGATCTTAATTGTGTAGAAGATGAATATCACTTCCTCTTAATTTGCCCATTATATTGTGAGTTAAGAAAAAAAAATGTCCCAAGATATTATTCTGTATATCCCGATAGGGTGAAATTTTCTTTGTTAATGAGTACTGATGACAATGTTCTTATCCGTAAGTTGTCAACCTTTATCCATCAAGCATTGTCTCTAAGAAATAAACATAATAATTCATAGAATGTATGTACTCATATTGTTATTTGTTACGATATGGTATGATGTGGTGCACTATGATATGATATGATATGACATGATGTAATATGGGGTGTTATGATATGATGTGATACGACATAGTATGTGTAATGCGATGCTATATGATGTGATACATTTTGATGCGATATGACATATTGTGATTTGACTATTTTTATTCTTTTCTATGATATTGTGTACTATGTTCTTGTATACTATGGGCCTGTGGCCTTCAGTATGAATAAAGATTGATTATAAGTAACAGAAATAAATAAATTCATTTTGTCCTTGAACTACTTCATCTAGAAGAGTCCATTTTTAGATCATAGGGGTGCCACTAGTTCACCATTGCGTAATCAACAGCCAACAGACCATGACATGTTGTTTAAGACTGTAGGCGAAATGGGATGTAGGCGAAATGAGAAGATACCGAAGAGTGAAGAAAGAATATCTGATAAGCTTTACAGAAAACTCTATCGTGACACCAAGTTATAAGAAACTTGTTATAACGTTGTGAGGAGCCCAAAGCATAACGTTTCCTCAACGTAAATTTGCAACGTTGTTATTACAATGTGACATAACGTTATAAACTGACGTAATAATAATGTTGTGACAACGTTGTGTCATGACGTTACCAATCTACAACCTTCCCGCAACGTTGTGTTTGCTGGGCTGTCGTCGGCACAGGAAGCCCTGGTTCAGTCCAGATCTGAACTAGATTTCCAACAGGCCGCAGTGATACAGCTGGAATATTGCTGAATACTGACAAAAATGTATGAGAACTGATGTAATGATAGTGAAGACCGTGAAATTCTGTAAAATTACTTCCTTGCGTGAAGATCAATACCTGGTGTGTCCACCATGATGATCGATACATGCACGCCACCTTGGTGGCATATAGGCATGTGAGTGAGTGAGTTTAGTTTTACGCCTTTTTTAGCAATATTCCAGCTACATCATGGCGGGGGACACCAGAAATGGGCTTCAAACATTGTACCCATGTGAGGAATCGAACCCGGGTCTTAGGCGTGACGGTACCATATGTTTGTGTCGGTAGTGAATATTCACTCACACATTTGTCTATATATAACGCAAGTAGTGAGTTTTGTTTTACGCCGCACTCTATTCAAGCTATATGGCGGCGGTCTTTAAATAATCGAGTCTGGACCAGACAATCCAGTGATCAGCAGCATGGGCTTCGATCTACGCAATTGGGAACCGATGACATATGTCAACCAAGTCAGCGAGCCTGACCACCCGATCCCGTTAGTTGCCTCTTACGACAAGCATGGGTTGCTGAAGATTAGTTCCAATTTAACCCGGATCTTTACGGGTTGTAACGCAACTAAAAAACGGCCTATCCTCTCGATGACAAATACATTTTTTTGCGTGTCAGCATATTGTATAAATAATTCAACTTTAATTACGAATTCAAATATAAATTTAATAACATAATTTTACTCAATTTCCGTAAATGTGCATCTGTGTCTTAATGCTTCACTTAATTGCTTCTGTTTATCACAATGTCAAATTACACGAGATAGTAATTAGGACTGCAGTCTCTCATTTAAACCATTTAGCAACAGCTGCAAGAGGTATTGCTAGCAGAGATGTTGCCATTATTTGAATTGGCTGCAGATTAAAAGGTTCAAGCCCTCATTAGTTTTTACAGCATCTCTGATAGTTGGGCTCACTTATGTAAGCATGGAAATGTCATATATATAAACTGTATGACTTGCACAACTGGGCCGTATATTCGCCTGAACCAGCTAATTACAGATCTCCCAGTAACAATGCTACAATAACACTGTTTCCTTCCGCAATCTATTTTGTCACCTGAGCACAAATAATTAAGTCTGCTTGTTGCAGTAAGCTCGGTCGACCCTGAACCGCCAAGTTGCCGTAGAGGCCATATTGATTTGCAACTGACAGATGTCACGTGACCAAACCTCGGCTAGCAGTGTTGTGAAACCGACATTTGCGGGCAGTGCTCTGCACGAAATTAGAATGAACCAGTACAAGGCCGAAGTTATTGTAGTTGGAGGCGGACTTAGCGGTAAGTATGCTCTAATGCTTTAAACGTGCAAAAATGCCATTTTGTAGCTGCAAGCAGCACGCCAAAGTTTGGTAAAATTGTAAACAACGGCATCGGCGTCTTGGACCTCATTGTGTATCGATCCCGTGTTTATATCCTGCACGTGCGTTTGGTGCTTCAGTACTCGTCCGAGCAAATCGTGGGTTACATGGAAGATGATTTTGGTTGATCCACTGAGATTAATGTATGAAAACGTGAACGTGAATCAGACGAAATGAGACCAGAGATTAGACGATTCATGGATACTGTTACATATATGTGAGCTGAGGTTTCTAGGCAGGATCGACGCTCTTAATAATTTACTTCCAACATATTTTTGAGAGCTCGTCACATCATGTCACATACCCAATTTAAGTGTGTTTGGATGAAAAATACCTTTTTTCTGAAATTTCAGCTGATAGGATAGAGGTATTCAGGTTATTTGTACTGGTTTATCATATGCTTTATTTAGCGAAACATGAGTGGGCTTTACAGCCTATAAGCTCTTTAAAAACATGTGGAGTGTTTTACATCGTTCTGTTAATGGGGATATGTATTACCTCATTAAAGCATATAACGATATGTAATGGGCTGGCTGGTAGATTTAGAACACCACTGACACGACTCAAGGACAGAGTCGCTCTAAAAGCTAGGTCATAAGGTAAAATTGGCCATATGGTAAAATTGGCTAATCTCACTGTGGAATGTTTTGTTCAGTGCTAAACTTGAAGTGAGGCCAAATACTTCGGAATGGAAGATTGGGTGATTTACTTTCTAATGTGATTCCTAGGTATGGTTGTGCTGTGGCTAGTTCTTGTCAAAATATATAGACATCTGCTAAGATGTAATATAAGACCAATGTTTTTACATCGTGGCATGTTGTTTTCTATATTTAATGCAGCATGCCATAGTATAAGATGTTTTGCTCTGGGGGATTTGTGTGTTGTTTAGAGCCGCACTCAGCAATATTCCAGCTATATGATAGCAGTCTGTAAATAATCCAGTCTGGACCAGAAAATCCAGTGAAATCCAGTGATCCAATGATCAACATCATGAACATCAATCTATGCAATTGGTATATGATGACATGTGTCAACTAAGTCAGCAAGCCTGACCTCCTGATCCAGTACATCACCTCTTACTACAAACATGAGTTGCTGAAGACCAATTTTAACCCGGGTTGCTGAAGATCCATTCTAACCCAGGTTGCTGAAGATCCATTCTAACCCAGGTTGCTGAAGATCCATTCTAACCCAGGTTGCTGAAGATCAATTCTAACCCAGGTTGCTGAAGATCCATTCTAACCCAGGTTGCTGAAGATCAATTCTAATCCATTCTAACCCTGGGTTGCTGAAGATCAATTCTAACCTGGGTTGCCAAAGACCAATTCTAACCCAGGTTGCTGAAGATCAATTCTAACCCAGGTTGCTGAAGATCTATTCTAACCTGGATTGTTACAGTTGGTTGAGGGTGTGGAGAAATTTGACTCTTTTGAGGCAAGCAGGTGTGCAAGCATCTCCTCAGTAGATGTTATGTTAGGAAAATATTAACACTTTTCTCTCTCATACAATGGTAATTGGCTGTATCAACATTGCTTTATTTAAGCATTTAGAACTTTCACTGGTGCAACCTGTAATTACAAAATGCTACCTCATGTTTATACCAACCTTCACCCAGTGCAAGTTAATGTTTTGCTGTTCAAAGAACACAGACTTCAGCTGAAAAACAGAATGATGAGAAACTGGCTGGGAGGAGTGACTACATGTCAGGGATAATTTTGGAATTTCATGGTGAATCAGTAATCTTGTGTTTCATTTCATATATGCACCACAACAAGTGATCTTATCAGACCAAGACAAAATATATATCATTATGCTTAAAATGCCAAATACCATCAGTATTAGAACTTAAGCATTGTATATATATACTGAACAACATTAGAAACGCACCACACTAAAATACACCACACCATCGATGCTCAGATATCATTGGTACATTGCAGTCTGACGGTGATATTTCATATTATATGGGTGGATGCGCTTCTAACGTTGTTCAGTGTAGTTATATAGTTGAGCAGCAGGTGCAACTGTTTTTTTGTCTGGTGCAACAAGGTTATTTCCAGGTTGCACCGCCGAGGGAAGTTGGTTTCATATCCTCAAATCGAGTCTTGTTCATGTCTGTATATCATACATATTGTATCATCACATTGCTGTACTGTTTCACCTCTATAAGGGGAGCCAAGTGGTTATGGTGTTTGCTTGTCACACTGAAGGTCCATGTTAGATTCCTCATATGGGTATAGGGTGGTGGGGTAGCCTAGTGGCTAAAACGTTTCCTCGTCATGCCAAAGAGCCAGGTTCCCCACATGGGTACAATGTATGAAGCCCATTTCTGGTGTCCCCCAACCGTGATATTGCTGGAATATTGCTAAAAGGGGTGTAAACCCAACTCGCTCAATTAAGGAAATAATACAAATAGCCCATTTTGGAGCCTGGTCCATTATATTGCTTGAAGATTTCTGAAAGCTCTCATTCACATTAGTGTTGGGAATTAGTTAAAATCTCATATTTGATGATTGTTTCATTACAGCCAATCAATCATCGAACAAAATTGGTTAGCATCATTTTTCAGATTTTTCTATTCGGGTTGTTATTGCAGATAAGTATAACATGATGCAACTTGCTACTTTAATGTGATAATTGATACAGCATGAAGAAAAACTTCCTGGAGTCTTCAAGAAATATTCAGTCATTACTTTTCAGTTAGTCAAGTGAGTTTTCTAACAATTAAACACATTTTCAGGCCCTGACAACTTCCAAGATATGTTCCGTCGTCAACTGTTTCAAACATTAAACCAGTAGTTCCAAAATCATTTGTGTTCGATTTTGAGAAAATGTGATCGATTGCTTGGTCATTTGGTCACTGCGACCAATCTTCGATTATTTCAATTAATCGGAACACCACTAATTCACATGTCATAGTAAATGAAATGCTTCTCAAAGCATCATGAAGAACTGGTCTTCGGCAACACATGCTTATTGTAAGTGATTACTTAGGGGACTGGGTGGTCAGGTTCCCTGAATTAGTTGGTACATGTCATCATGTTGCATAGATTGATGCTCATGCTGTTGATCATTGGATTGTCTGGTCTAGACTTACATTTTTACAGATTTGTGGAGTGCTGCGTTATACAACAAACAAACAAAAACTACAAGGTCAGACGTTCAGTAATTTGAGTTAATTTTAAGCTGAACTGATCAAGCTGGCTGAACTACAAGTGATTTTAAGAGACGCACCATCCATCTGGCCTCCCTTAGGATATCATCTCTTGTCGAGGTCTGTATCGGCAGGGATTTTTCCGGGATTCTACACTAAGAGCCTATGGTTGGCTCATTGGGGGAAAAAAATGTTATTTTGTTAAAAAATGGAATTTTGAATATGCTTATTGTTTTTAGCCCAGTGGCTAAAGCGTTTGCTGGTCATGCTGAAGACCGGGTTCGATTCCCCACATGAGTACATTTTGTGAAGCCCATTTCTGGTGTCCCTCTCTGTGATATTGCTGGAATATTGCTAAAAGCGGCACAAAGTCATACTCACTCACTCATTTTGTCAGTTGCTGACTTAGGGCTGAATGTAAGCCTCTGAGCAGATCAACATAAATCCCTGACACACGATGCCTGTTTAGTTGTGTCTGTATGACCTTGCTCTAGAGCTGGCAGTTGTATGTTTAGTCATATACTACTCGGGGCTTTTACTGGGTCAAGTCCACCTGTCAGATGCTAAGCCAGCAAACTCTAGGCAATGTCACACCAACCTATATTTGATAACGGAGATACAGAAAATGAATTGTGGCTGTTAGGGCTGTTTTGTATTTCACTGTAAAAAAGGATTGAGTTACGTTTTACGCCACTTTTGGCAACATTCCAGCAACATCACGGCGGGGGACACCAGAAATGGGCTTCACACATTGTACCCAGATGGGGAACCGAACCCGGGTCTTCGACGTGACGAGGGAACGCTTTAACCACTAGGCTACCCTACCACCACTGTGCTGAATAAAAAGTTCATTGCTCTGTGGTGTGTTTTGAAAAGCTTAGTTAAACATGAAAGACTAAAGGTCATTTCGCAGCTTTATATAATGATTCATTATCCCCAAAGTGATGTTCCTAAAACACCAATTATATATCCAAGACAACAACGGCATGTATATGCCACATTTGTAAGGTGCCACTATTCACTACGTCGAGATTTATCCGTCAGTTATGCTAGAAACCATGTTGCATGTATTAGCAACATATGTAAGGTGCCACAATTCACTGCGTCGAGATTTATCCGTCAGTTATGCTAGAAACCAAGTTGCATGTATTAGCAACATTTGTAAGGTGCCACAATTTACTGCGCGGAGATTTTTACCTCATTCATGCTAGAAATCTGTGGTCATGGCCTGACATCCAACTTTGTCGTACTGTTTTCTCAGATTTGTTAGGTCCGCTTGGTGCACGTCTGACTCTTGTGTTACCTTCCTCCGGGCTTTCTTCACTGTACTTTTCAAAGCGATGAGGAGTCATTTCATACTTATGATATCATACTTTGCCTATCGTATACTTTTATCACATCAAACTGGTCATATCATACTTGTCATCACATACTGGTATATATCATACTTTTCATGGCATATTTGTCATATCAAACTGGTCATATCATACTTGTCACTGGCATGGTTTGTCATATCAAACTGATCATATCATACTTGTCATCACATACTGGTTATATCATACTTGTCATGGCATATCTGTCATATCATCCTGGTTATAACTGCCAACGAAACGTGAGATCGGGAATTACTCACCACATCCCAAATAACTGAATTATGTTGTTTTCTCATTGGCATACTATTCCAATATCTCGACTGATTATTTAAAAATATGTGACTTTCAGGCAATATACAGACAAACTTTATGGATAAACAACTTCTTTATTCGGTAGATGCAACGTTTCGATACAGATTCTTGTATCCTTGTCAAGCAAGTATGAGTAAGGTAGATAACAGGGGACTATATGTACAGTAAATAATTAACTAAAACAACAAGGACGTGAATTGGGATGTACAGAAACAAGGGATGACAAGGGATTACAAGTAGAAGCCAGTGACTAGAGATACAAGTAGAAGCCAGTGACTAGAGATACAAGTAGAAGCCAATCGGGTTTACGGGTGTTTGTACAAGTAATACAACCAGTTAAGGTTGGTTGATGAGTTGATCGTACGCAGAGGGGATGAAGTAACCTTGGTCTCTATTGATCAGGACTTTCAGGTAATTTCATGTTAATACGTATATATCTGATTTATATATTCATTGCAGGCTATGGGGCGGTGGGGTAGCCTAGTGGTTAAAGTGTCCGCTCGTCACGCCGAAAACCCGGGTTCGAATCCCCACATGGGTACAATGTGTGAAGCCCATTTCTGGTGTCCCCGTGTGATATTGCTGGAATATTGCTAAAAGCGGCATAAAACCATACTCACTCACTCACTCATTACAGGCTATTGGCTGCTTGCCATACGCCACTGTCAGTGGAAATCCTGCCCCATAGAGACCCCACTGATGCTGAAGAACGTGTCAGTCAAAGGTTGTTGCAGCATGTATGGCTTATATTATATGCTGCCCATAGCCCCCAAACCGTTATTCTTTTTGACATATTATACCAGTGATGTTATAACACAGATGGTACGTATGATGATTGTGTGTTTGTAATTACTGCATGTTGTCATGTTAATTGGTCAATTCTCTGTTCACATCTACAACAACAGCGATCAAGATGATATCATACTTTGCCTGAAAAGAGGAACTAAGCAATTTAGTTCCAGACATTTTTCATTCAGCTTCTGCTTTACCCAAACTGAAGGCTGTGCTTGGCTGTGTCCGTTTCTGGTGTCCCCAGCTGTGATATTGCTAGAATATTGTGAAAAGTGGCATAAAATCCTACTCACTCGTGTGATTACTGTTGCATTGAAATCCAAATGGGTGCTCTGTCGAGGGTTCAGATTGTTAAATCAGGGATAGAAACTAATATTATCAGCCATAGCCAGTGAATTGTGTTGACAAATTTGAGTATGTAGAATCCCTGAAAAGCTGGCCTCTGTATCATATACATATTTCTGAATGATTTTGTGCATGAATTCGACCAAATAACTTGCTTCCTGTATACTTGTAGCAAGTATAGTAACATATTTAATCATTATCATCATCAGAGCTCCAGATAGGATTTAGCTCATGTGGGTACTGTACCCAATGTATTTTTTTGGAGTGGGTATTATGAATGTGGAGTGGGTATTTCATTTTCCGTTACCCACTGCTTTCAAATATGTGCGTATTTCAGTCATTTTACTCACCTAAGTATTATGTCATTGAGTAAGTTTACTAAGCAGGTATGTTCTGCCTTATGTCATACCTAATCAAAACCAACTTAAATATAATGAAAATGATTTCATAAAAATCACTCATCCTATACTGACAGTACAACACTTGTCCTATACTAACAGTACAACTTGATAGCAATCGATGTCTTTTTCATTACGCAAGCGATTTTTATAAATATATTCTGTACGCATTTGTTTTAAACTTTTTGCGTATCTAACATTTTAAATGCGTAATTGGTACGCAACAATTATTTTTACAATGCGTAATTGGAAATTTTCTATGCTTATTTTACCCGGATACGCAGCTTATCTGGGCCTCTGATCATGATCAACAACAAGCATATAATCACAAGATGTTCCGTGCAGTAGCGATAAACAGGTGAACAGGTGTATTTCATATGTTGAGGTGTGGTGGGGTAGCCTAGTGGTTAAAGCATCAACTTTCGTCATAGTAGAGGTGTGGTGGGGTAGCCTAGTGGTTAAAGCATCCGCTCGTCAGGCTGAAGAGCCAGGCTTGATACCCCAGTTGGGTACAATATGTGAAGCCTATTTCTGGTGTCTCCCGGGCGGTGGGGTAGCCTAGTGGTTAAAGCATCCGCTCGTCAGGCTGAAGAGCCAGGCTTGATACCCCAGTTGGGTACAATATGTGAAGCCTATTTCTGGTGTCTCCCACAGTGATATTACTGGACTATTGCTAAAAGCGGCATAAAACCAAACTCACTTACTCACATGTTGGATGTATGATTTTTCTGCCGAATAGACTTTTGTATAACTAAGTGGACATAAATTATGGATGACAACTTCCTTAAAGGTCACATGCAACGTAAAACACAACTCTGCAGATTCTGATACCTTTCGGTGTGGACTTACAGATACAAATCATCAAAATGCAAATTCAACTTACAAAGTTGAAAAATAACGCGATGAGGGCATCGACAGATGAACCAGCCAATGAAGGCTTTGTTACACTTGAGTGCACACCCACCTGCTCTGACTGGGTTCGGTATCCCAGGTGCTTTGTTTCGAGGGAAGTAAACCCAAGTACAAAATATTGCACTTTTTGATTTGCGATTGTACGCTTTTAATTTTGTTTAAATGTTTTTCATAATCAGCAATGTATATTATATGTCATGAATAAGTGATAATTTTGTTTTAATTATGTTTGATTTTTTGGTTGCATGTGACCTTTAATGTACTGACCCATGAAGATCCGGGTTAGAATGAATCTTTAGTAACCGATGCTTGTCGTAAGCAGCGACTAACAGGATCGGGTGGTCAGGCTCGCTGGCTTGGTTGACTCATGTCATCGGTTCCCAATTACGCAGATCGATGCTCATGCTGTTGATCACTGGATTGTCTGGTCCAGACTCGATTAATTACAGACCGCCGCCATATAGCTGGAATATTGCTGAGTGCGGCGTAAAACAAAACTCACTCACTCACTCCTTAATGTACTGTTACAATGACATTTTCAAAATAGGTCTTCATATATTGCTGTCGAGCAAGCAATTCTGTCCTGAAAATTGCTGTAATGGTGTACAGAAAAGAACTTGATATCCAGAACTGAGTTATCTTCATGAAGTTCTTTCAGGCATTTAGAAGTTGGACAAACATGACGAAGGAGCAAGCATACACTCCAGAACGTCGTGTTATTCACAATAAAGAAGTTGACATCCATAAATCTTCCTTTTCCTATGCATTCCACTTCTAAATGCCCTTCAAAGACTTGGTGAATATGTGACATTTTTGTGGATAGACCGTCATACCAAAGAGCGTTAAAAATATTCTTTTATCCTTTATACAACCGACATTTCAGAGCTAATAAAACTTGCTCCTTCATCACCTGATAACAACAACAATTAGGTCTGAATGTGTTGTGATAAAGAATCAAAAAGAAGTCGCTTATCCATGAAACGAAGTGGAGTTATCCATCATGTATTCAACTGTGTCATCAGCCATCTACTAAAATGACTAATAAAGCAGTTGTTGTTCAGTGTTCCAACTGTATGGCCATAAGGTGTAAATAAACACATGTGAATCAGACAACTAGTGATGGATATAAGCTGTCTGTATGTGATGATGACATAAAGGAAACACAGCTATTCAGTCCCTCCTGGATTCCGTCACCATTTCGAATATTTAAGAATTCTGCAGCAAATTTAATCATCATCGCCGCCACCAAATTCTGCATCCCATTTTTAAAATTCTGCATTATCATCAAAGATTCTGCAGTTAATACTTGAAAAAACAACAAA